ATGATGTATAAATCTCAATTTTGAAAAATTGACACTTAAGACTGGTTTTGTGGTCCAGGGTCACATATAGGCTGAAGTTAGTTGTCACACTTTCTACTCCAGTAAATATTTCTTAGAATGGGTTTATTTATTTATTTATTTGTATACACACAAATGTCAAAGCCTTAACTAGTAAAAGCTATTTTTCACAATGCTTTGAACAACACGTTGTCACAATGGAATATATTTGGTGATGACAATCGTAATAACATATTCTAAAAATATTTTGAAAAGTATTATTTATATAAGAAATGCATTTGAATAAATAAAGAGTATTATATTTATATAAATAACAATAAATATTAGTAGTAGTAGTAGTATCATTATTATAATTAATAATAATGTGCAAAAACTTAAATAATAATGAAAAAAAAAATATAATAATATGTAATAACTTTATATATTTATATATAATAAAAATGTTCAATTAAATGTTTAATGATGATAATATATTGTATAACATTTTTAAAAGTTATTTATGTAAATAATATACTGAATACATTTGAATAAATGTTTAGTATATATTTAAATTAATAATAATAATATGTATATATAATATTCAATTAAATGTTTAATAATACTGATGGTAACATTGTACAACATTGTATTATCAAAAATTATTTATATATAAATAATAATAATAGTAATTATAATAAGTACATTTGAATAAATAGTATACATTTATATTAATAATAATAATATGCATTATATATATGTATAATAAAATAAATTACTTTTTTAATAATAATAATGCTTATAATATAATATAAAATTGTATTATTATAATATAGAAATATTTTGAAAATATATATATATATATTTAAATAAAAATAATAATTAATACATCTAAATAAGTAAATATACAGTGGATATATATATATATATATTTAAATAAAAATAATAATTAATACATCTAAATAAGTAAATATACAGTGGATATATATATATATATATTTATAATAATAATAATAATATGTGAAAACTTCATGAAAAACACTCTTGTCGTGAGAACATAAGTGAACCTTCAATTAAAGTTTAGTTTGTTTTGCTCCTGATAGTAAAGCTGCAGTTGCTCAAACACAATCACACAATATTTCAATACTTTTGCGTAATAAACGGTTTTCCTGTCAGAAAAGCTGCCAGAAAAGGCTCATCTCTTCACTAAACTGGATTTTCCCCAATGTTTCATGTTGTTTCAATTCCCGTGTTTTCCCAGCACTTCCAGCAGAGCCAGGATCAGATCCAAGTCTCCTCCGGTAAAGCCTTGAGCTCGTGGAAGAGGACGGGTGAGTTATCGATCAGCCGCTTGATTTCTTTCATCCATAAACCCACATGACTTTCTGTCTGTCTTCAGCACAGCAGTCCATTCAGCTAAAAAAAGCTAATTTTACTTCATTATATGCTGATACATTTCACAAAAGTATCATAGGATTTGAAATATATCATATCAACAACTGTTATTATCATTTTCTCATTTTTGGAGTTTGAGAGCCCTAGATCTCATCATTTAAAAATAAATACAATGGTGACTGATTTTAGTTTTGAATTTATTACTGTAATCGAGTGTTTTTTAATCTAATCTGTTGGTTTAGGAAGTAAATGTATTATTTAGTTGTATGTTTTGTCTGTTTCAGATGCGTGACACTGTGGAGATTGAAGCTACAGATGTTTTTGATGCTGCTATCCATGATTTTATTTGAGATTTTTAGGTGTATGTAACTGTGAAATTGTAATTTTGCTACACAGTAATTTGACAGATTTTGAACTTAATTTTTACAGTCGGTTGTAATTTGATGTACTTTTATTGAATGTAAATGATGTTTTAGGAGATTGAATAAAGGCTTTTATTTGATACACTGCGGCTCTGTCTGGTTTAAGAAACGCGAGGCGGTGTGATGTCTGATCAGTGGTTGGGTTTGTCTCTGAGTGGATGATCATCTGTGGGGCTGATAGGAGGAGTATTAACGGCTCGTATAAGAGTGTGTCCCAGTCTCAGATCTCACAGGACTCACAGCCGATCTCACTGATCTTCAGATGGAGCTCCTAGTGTTTGGGATTTTACTCTCGGTCACCTTCAGCGCCGTTCAAGGTAATAATGTGGGTTACTGCCAATAATAACCAGTCACAGTCATGGTTTTCTATTTTGTATATTTTCTATCTATCTATCTATCATCTATCTATCTATAAATCATCTATCTATCTTTCTATCATCTCTCTCTCTCTCGCTCTATATATATATAT